TAGCTCCATTGTGTAAATATACCACATTTTTGTTAACCACTCATCAGTTGAGGGACACTTAGGTTGCTTCCGTCTCTTAGCTATTGTGAAAAGAGCAGCAACAAACATGGATGTACAAGTGTCTCTGCAATAGGATGAGTTCTTTGGGTATATGCCAAGGAGTGACTCATGGGAGAACTTCTTGTCATGATTTCCCAGAACATCTCACATACTGAAGGGAACCAGACCCCACCCATCACCCCTAGAAGACAGAGAGCACCCCACCAGGGTCTCAGAGGACCCTGACCACAAGCTACTCTAATCACACCTTTCCCTGTTCTTCCCACACATTCCTACAATTGCTTTACAAGCAGTCAGTTCTCCATATCATGGGAGAACTTCTTGTCATGATTTCCCAGAACATCTCACATACTGAAGGGAACCAGACCCCACCCATCACCCCTAGAAGACAGAGAGCACCCCACCAGGGTCTCAGAGGACCCTGACCACAAGCTACTCTAATCACACCTTTCCCTGTTCTTCCCACACATTCCTACAATTGCTTTACAAGCAGTCAGTTCTCCATAGCTGCAGTCCAAACACATCAGAACATTGAATCAGTGCATGCCAAATCATTGCGTTCATGGGAAACAAGATTAAGTGTCTCTGAGCCTGTGACATTTTCCTTAATAGGGGGCGTACAACCTTATTTTGTGTGTGTTTCTGTTTAGATGCCATACTGAATGTATTTTGTTGATTTTTTTTTCTTTTAGTATTTACCACACTGCCAAGGTGTTATAACTCGGGCCTTGTGGCACTGGTTTGTAAGCTCAGCTACTTAATAGAATGAGGCAGGAGGGTTGCAAGTTCAAGGCCAGCCTGGGCAATGTCATGAGACTTTAATCTCAAAATAGAAAATAGTTTCAGAAGACTGCAGTTCAGTGGTAGAGTGCTTAACCTAGCATGCGTGGAGCCCGAGTTCAGTCCTTGATACTACCACTGCCATAAAGCAACCTATCTAACACAATATTTGATCTGCAAGGCCGGCCCCAGCCCCAGCCCTCTCTCACTTAGAATCCTGGACAACGCTGCATTGGGAAGTTATTTTAAACAACAAAGTCATCAACAAAAATCACAGAAATGAAATAAAAACGTGACACTAAGTAGACTTCCAGAGGACATTTGTTTACAGCCTGAACATCAACAAGACAGTAGAGTGTTTGTGGGACCTCAGTGACCTTTTGGTCACTCTGAGCACGTTCAAGAATGAACAAGAAAGCCCTGCAAGCACCGACGGGGGAAACAAGTAAATATCAGTAAGCAAGTGACCCCTGGGAGTACTGAGGACCGACTGGGCGGAGGTTCCTCCACCTGTTCTGTCCCTGGTCCTTCTTCAATTTCTCATGCCGTGTCTCACCCCATCTTCTTAAAAAGCAGTCCAGGGGCTGGAGAGCTGGCTCAGCGATTTGAGAGCATGTGCTCCTTCTGCAGAGGACCTGAGACTCACATTGGGTGGCTCACAACCACCTGTAACTTCAGTTCCTGTTGATCTGACATCTCCCCCTGGCCTCTGCAGGCATGCCCCCCCCCACACGACACAACACTCACAAGCACACGCATACACGCACAACATACAACACTTAAGCACATGCACACATACACACACAACACACAACACTCACAAGCACACACACACGACATACAACAGTCACAAGCACACATACACACACATCATACAACACTCACAAGCACACGCACATGCACGCATGCACACACACACACACACACACAGTAAACCATATTGTTGTCCTCGGACTCCACGTCCCCGTGACATACAACACTCACAAGCACACATACACACACATCATACAACACTCACAAGCACACGCACACGCATGCGTGCACACACACACACACAGTAAACCATATTGTTGTCCTCGGACTCCACGTCCCCCCGCCACCACCACCACCTTAATGCTTCCCCACTGTAAACACACCCCTTCCTTCCCGAGCCTCATGGCTGGTTTGAATGCTGGTGACTGCTCCTTTCCTGAGACTCCTTCCCACCGAGACTGCCCTCTGTCCTCACCCTCTTCTCTGGCCACAGCGTCCTCCCACTCTTCACATATTTCTCTTCTTCCTCAAATGATCATGCCCCCCCCAGGTCTGAACCTCAACTCTCCCTCCCTCCCTGCCTTGGCTTCCCCCGTGAACCCAGACTTTGATGCCCCTTGCCCGGGGACTCTACATCCTTCTAAGTTCAACTTTGAACTTGAGCAAAGGACTGTATACCACCCACCTCCATCAAACAGTCCCCTCCAAGCTCAAAATAGACTTGTCCCCGCTGTACACAGCTCGTCATCCTGGACACCAGGCTGGAGACAGACTCACCCTAGAGCCCCCACTTCCTCACCGAAGTTGTGCCGAGGTCCAGCCAGCCCTCCCTTTGGGCGCTCCGCAGCGCATCTCTCCACACTCTGCTCCAGATCCTCATCTCTAGCCGGACATGTTTTGAATCTTCCTGACAGATTCTTCTTGTCCTTAAGGCTCAGTCACCAGAGTCACCTTAATTCTAAAGGACCCTGCTTACCTGAAAGATGCAGTCTGAACTCCTGAATCCCATGGCGTATGGGCAAGACTCCCAATAGTGGTCTCTGTCTGCACTCCAGACTGGCATCCTGCTTCCTTCCGCCTACATGGAAGGAAGTCTCACACAGTGGATGACGCCCACCAGTCCTCGGGGCTCACCTTCATCCCCACACCCTGCTGGGCTCGCCTGAGTGCAGCTCACGCTCTAGGAGCAGTTTCCTTGGGACTCTGTAGACAGGTTTCATTTCTCTTTCCACTAGTTTGTGACTTTTAAACATTTTTGGATGTTATTACTATACCTTTTCGAACTTTATAATCCTCAATAAATTCTCCACATATTCTTGCTTACTGAATGGATTAACTGATGGGTGATGAGAGGATGGATGAAAATTTGCTCTCCAGCACCATCTCCTCAGATCACCTCAGCCTTGGCCAGGCTCCTCCTCCACTGCTTGGCTAGGCTTCTCCCTCGCTGACTCACAGACCCGCACCTCCTTGGACTAACCTAAAGCCAGCAGCTGGCCAGAACCTCTGAAGGATGCCTGTGGTCTTTCCTGCTTCGAGACATGAGCTTCCTCTCTGAGGCTGTCTCTGCCTCCTGACTGACTACCGCGTCTTCCTGTAGCCGTCTCTCACCCTGCCTTTGCTCCAGAGCTGACCACTTTGTGTAGGCGCTCTGGTTCCTGTGCCATTTTGAGTTAGTTTTTAAGCAGCACTCAGGAATCCTAGGTCCAGCTCAGGAATGTGGATTCACACTGTGGTGGTCTAACCTCCCTCCCTTCTCTCTTTGAACAGCAGATGCAAGGAAGGAAGAGAGACTCCAGTGAGAAAGATGCGTCATACACTGTGCCCGGTCTGCAATAAACGTCTTCCTCCTCCTGAAAGACTCTTTCATTGTCTGCGTCAGAAAAGAATAGCACCAACTGTCCTGTCAGATGAGAGACTGGGGGGTGAGATGGTTGCTATTTGGGAAGGATTCTAGGAATCAAGACCCACAAAGTAGCTGTGTTTAGTGGGTTTGGATCAGTTTACAATGGTTGTAGATTACTTGTTACTTAAGACAAGTAGTCTCATTGCCCAGTGTCAGAAAAGACCATTCTGTCTAGTTTTAATGTTGCAAAGTCATCCGTGGTAACTTTTAGGGCAGCAAAACTATTCTACCTGACACTGTCAAGGAGGAACATGGTGTTATTTGCTCTTCAAACCTCAGAATCCACTAAACAGTGAACCCTAATGCAAACAGGGAATGTAATTGACATGGGGTCATTGACCATCAAATGTCCACACTGATGCAGGCTGCTAATCACAGCAGAAGGCCAGTGGTGGGAGAGTAGGTTGCATCCTACTTGATGCTCTGTTTTGCTGGGTTAAAACTGCTCTAAGAATACAGTTTGGGGGCTGGGGAGATGGCTCAGTGGTAACAGTGTTTGCTGCCTAAGCATGAGGACTTGAATTTGAATTCCAGATTTCATCTATTGAAAAAGAGGCTGGGCATGACATACCTGTACCCCGAGTGTTGAGGGGGTGGGGACAGGCAGATCCGTGGAGCTCACTGGCAGCCAGTCCTAGCTGAAATGGAGGGATTTGGGTTCAGTGAAAGACCCCATCTCAAGGGAATAAGGTACAGTGATTTAGCAGGACACTGAATGTCCTCTGCACACTCAAGTATAACACACACACACACACACACACACACACACAGAGAAACAGAGAGAGAGAGAATTTTATCAATGTCACCATTCCTTTGAGTGTTTCCAAGAACCCTTCCCCGCTGAGAGAGAGAGAGTTTTATCAATGTCACCATTCCTTTGAGTGTTTCCAAGAACCCTTCCCCGCTCAAGGGAATAGGGTCATGTTCCTGAAGCTTCCTGTCTTGGGCACAGTCTGGGGTTTAGGGTAAGGAACATCTATATTAGTAATCTGGAGATGGCATCCATTCTTCCATTATTGAGTTTATCATGTGGGGTATGGAAGCACCCACCTATTATTCTAGCACTTATGAAACTGAAGTGGGAGAATCATAAGTTTGAGGCCAGCCTAGGCTTCATGATGAGACCTTGTCTCAAACCAAGATGGAGTTGGTTGTGCCGGCCTTCCAAGAACAACAAAAGTCAAGAGGTTATAAAGCAGTGGTTCTTGCGCACAGCTACTTGACACAAGCTGAATGCATTTTTAACCTTGGTCCTGTAGACAGAAACCTGTGTTCTGTTTGTGGTATTTGTTCCAGACACAGACACGTAGAGCCTCAAGGCTGAAGTATTAAAACACGATGTTGGGAAATGTAACTGGCAGGGATGAAGACATTCTAATCAGACACTCGTGTTCCTCTCCCGGACTATCAGACTGTGAAACAAGGCACCCTGGGGGGCTGGAATTTCCTCTAGGAATGTGATGCTGAGAAAAGGAAAAGTCTGACTCCTGGTGTCTGTGCCCCGCCAGCCCCCAGGAACTTGCCTCTTGGAAAGAGATTTAACACAGTGTAATCAACTTGTCAGACACTTTGCAGGATTGGGTCCCTGATGGGAGACTGCTTAGCTACGCACAACTCTGGCCTTTTATTAAACCTAAACGTTGTCAGAATTCTGAAGATGGACTTGGGGTGTCACTGAGTCTCCTTGTCATCTCAATGAGGCCACATTGAATAAATCTCCCTTTCTGCTTTTACCCTATTAAAAAAAAGATTTTATAATGTAAATTAAGTATATGTTGAGCTTTGGGAGAGGTGTGGAAATTATTTTTTTCTTCTTTGATAACAGAGTAGGATGGATTCTATTGACAAATCACTGGTATGGAGCCATCTTTGCGTTCTTGGGATATCGCCTCTTTTCTGGGTTTGGTGGTCTGTGAACATGCCCCTGGTTCATTTAAATGTTCCATCCATGTCCATACAGCAAAACCCCCCCTGCCCTTGCCTAGCCACTCCCTCCCTTTGTCCCACTAAACTCCAGCACTCTGAACTAGTCAAAGACCTTCTTCTTAAGCATCTGTTCAGGGCAGATGTGATTTCTTTTATGATCAGAATAGGACATAAGCTACACATAATCCATACATTAATTTGTAAATTTTTATAATTTGTCAATTTGTGACTTCTCCAGTGTTTCCCAAACGGTTTCCCCAACACATTTCTTCCACTTCCCTCTGGAGAGAACGGCAGCAGACGCACACTGTATGCAAAATGGCTGATCCGTGCTCAGTAGCAGGCATTGGTCTAGCAGACTCTGGGGGCCGATGTGAGGAGCATTTGGTGTCATAACTGTTGGCCTTGCTCTGTGATTCTGTGCATTGGGAGAGTGAGAACCAACACCAGCCCCGAGCACAGCTAGATGCCCAGCAACCAGGCCCAGGCCTTCTCAAAGCACTGCTTTTCTGCAAGTATCAGCTAGCCAGCGAGAATGTTAAAGCAGCTGCTGCCAGCGAGGAGACAAGCTGAGCTGGGGGGACCTGCACCCTATGGCCCCTCAGAGGGAGACTGTTTCTCAGAACTAACATGACCTCTCTCACCTTCAGAATAGGATTATGTGAGCAATTGTTGGTTAAACAAGCAACCTCTCAGCCTTCTTTGAGCGACACACACCTGCTCTCAGGGGTGGGGCTGAGGAATGTGGTCAGTGCCAGGATTCCCTCTCAGCTCTGACCCCGGCGAAACCACAGTGCAAGGCAAAGAATGATAACCCTGTTCACAAAAATGTCACCGTGTCACCATGAGGCATTTGGCAGAGAAATTCTGGCTTCTCTCCAGAGGCAGGTGTGATGGAAGCCACCTGCCAGAAGTGACTTTTTATTATAGAATCAGCCGCAGCAGCTGCCATTGCTGGCGTGACACTGGCATTCCTGGGAGGCCCTGGGAATATGTTCCCAGCTTTGTAGACAGTGTTTGCTTCCCTGTTCTGTCACAGCTGGGGATTAAAAGTTGCCCAGAGTTCAAATACACACCGGAATGTCTCAGTGTGACCTGACCTGTTGACAGCATGCCATATGCCATGCTGTTCCTCTGTCACCTGGGTTCCTCAATGTGGAAGGAGTTGTACCCTCATGTCCCATTGTTTTGAGGGGTTCCTCAGCCTGGAAATCAGTCAAGGTCTTTCTTACGTGCTGTTTTCCTTTCCAGATCGCAAGGAGAGACTTAATTTGGACCCTAAGAAGAATTCTGTATACCTTGTTTTACACCAAGGTATCTTGTGGTCTTCAGGATTATGGCCTGTTGGTGGCTGTAGAGAATGCACACACGTGAGAGGGATGCAAAAGGCAAGAATTACTCCATGGAGTGGATCCCTCTGCAGAGATGCCCATTCTAGTTCAGCCTTTCAAGATGAAGCTAGATTTAAATACGATTTTTAAATTTTTTATTTCTTAATGTGTATGAGTGTTTTGCCTGCATGTAAGTGTGTCTGTGTCATGGAATGGTCTCAGAGACCAGAGAAGGGTGTCGGATCCCCTGGAACTGGAGTTATACAGGCAGTTTAAGGCTCCATGTGGATGCTAGAAGTGAACCCAGAGCCTCTGCAAGAGCAGCCAGTGCCTCTAACTGCTGACCCAGCTCTCCAGACCCTGATTTAAATATGAACAGATTGTGTGACTGTGAGGTTTTCAGATGACTGCCTTCCCCTTCCCTCTCTCTCTGCCTCCCCACCTCTCTCCCTCCCCACCTCTCTCCCTCCTCACCTCTCTCCCTCTTTCTTTCTTCCTTTTTCTCTGTTTTTCTCAACTTGCCTAACACATTAGACTGTTTGAGAAGAGAAAGGAGAATTTGAGCGCTCCTAAATGGCATTTGAAGTCTAGGCACAGCCTGAAAGAGGTGCGATGTGGTCAAGGGTCCAGTTATGGTTGCTATGGTAACAGCTGCAGCCACTGGTCCCTGATCTCCAGTTGGAGTGAATCCCAAGGAGCTTACAGACTGCCACAGGAACAGAGGAGGGACAGAAATACCTTAGTTTGGGATGCTGTAACCAGGCAGCATGGACTGAGTGGCTTAAACAACAGAAATTTATTTTTTGTGGTTCTGGGAAGACCAAGATCATGGTGCCAGCAGATTGGCTCCTGTGGGATCTTTTCTGGCTCACCGGTGGCTGTCTTCTCACTGTGTCTCCTTGAGGTAGAGAGCAAGCAAGCCCTGGTTCCACTTTGCCTTCTTCTAAGGCAGTGTCTGACCTCATTTAAGACTACTAGTCTTCCAAATACCATCACACAAGGAATTAGGGTACCAATGTGAATGGGGAGACACACAGATATTCAAATAGGCAACCCTGAGGCATTGGACTCTTCAGACCCAGGAGCTCTGAGAGCATAGTCAACACACACACACACACATACACACACACACACACACACACACACACACACACACACACACACAGGGTTCTCTGCCCCCTGCTACGTCATCCCCAGAACAGCAGAAGGACTGTGCTCACATTCCCTGACCCACTGTGGCTACAGTCCCAAGTCCACTCCCCAACTCACTCTGCAAATGTAGGGTTCCTCTTGTCCCTGTGGAGATGCCACAACACAAAAGAAAAGAAGCCTCTCAAACCTGATCGTTCTGATTGATTTGCTAATGATTGGCATGGAACAGTGGGTCAGTGCAGGAAGCCACAGGTCTGAGCATCCACACACCTGCATCAAACCCTTCCCTGTTCCTTCTTCGGATTCCACTTTCATGTCTGCGTCTGCTTTGGAGGGTCTTCCGTGCCACTCCTATGTGTGCCCTAAGAGCTGACTTTTCCCCTTGACAGGCTCTAGTTTGTACCCCTCCCTCCTTGCATTCCCGTGCCCTGGTGCCTGGGATGTGGTGTGGGGTCCTGGTGTCTGTTTGGGTCTCCATGCTCCCCCTTCCCCTGGTAGGGCTGTCCTCTGGCGACTCAAATCCTGCAAAAAGCATCAGGTAAT